TTGAAAAAAGAACTGGACCATAAATTTGATTGGCAAGAACACAAAATTCAAATAAATATTGAAGCAGCTCACTCTACAAATATTTCTGGTACATGCTGAAAAGGCAAAACACCTAAATCTAATTGTTATAAGGCAACATCAGACTTTACTGTACTGCAATACTTACATTGATGGCAAGGCATAAGACATTATTCTTTCCAATATATCTTATAGACACAGGCACAACATATATACTAAGATAGTAAACTTTAAACAGGCAAAGAACTATCAAGAAAGAAATCTTGACCAAGCAGACACAGAGATTCAGACGAATAGTTAAATAGTTTCACATTTGGTAACAATTTTTATAAGGCAGGTCATCTAACAATAAGTGCAAATGTTAGGCTGATCTGAGTTGATCTGAATACTTTATAAGCAAATTATAATGCCCATTTTAAAGATAATATACAATTGAATAAAATTACTTTATCAATACTGAACAATATTCATTATAAATAGGTTTTTATTCTTTTTACGATTTTAACTGAGATAAATTCTTTGGCAAGCAAACTTGGCTCATGTGTTTCAAATAAATCAAAACAAAAGAGTCAAAAATTTTGACTTGGATAAACATAACGCGATTCAGTTCAACCCAGATTTAAAATAAAACAATACCTTACATAAGATAATGAAACATACACATAAAATATCTACACGGAGATGATGTTTTGAGGGCACTTATGAGTGGCACAGCAAACAGTTCAGAATTAAATTAATCATGCAAAAACAAAAGTGCACCGAGCACTTGGTATTTAGAGCGCAAAATGATTCTGACACTTGATAAGTGTAAACACATTACAGCAACCAAATCAATATTCAATTCATCAATTCAATATTTGAGGACAGGACATATGTAATAAAAGGTAACCTAGAAAACATAAGTTATATTATTTTCTACTCAAATGTTAACAACCAAGAACAGTTCACAAAAATTATTACTTGCCTTGCAAAAAACTTGTTTGTATGACAGTTTATAATTATGATTAAGTCTAAGAGTTAAAAACTGCTGATTCTAAAATTCGTCACAAGTTTGTGGAAAGACATGACACCCGTATTGCTAACCTGCTTTCATCATTGATCACTGGAATGAAATACTGGGTTACTGTATGATAAAAAGTAATTTAATTTTGTAAATTTAAATTTGATTCAGGGTAAAAAGATCTCAGAAGAGTTAGAAACCTTATGAAACCTTTTTCAAGAAACACTTAATCTGATGGAAAAAGAGTCTCTATGGCCCACAACACACGCACATTGCATCAATCAATGTCCAAAGCTTATGATGAAGGAATCAAACTGAAAACTTTGCTACTTGGAGGAAATGCAAAATAGGTAGTTCACATGAAGAAAAAAAAAGAAGAGAACTGAGAGAAAAAGAAAAGAAAAAAGAAACAAACAATGAAAACTCAGCCACTTGGGATTTCATGGATTTGATACTGCATTAACAACATCAACAACTCTGTACTTGCTTTTTTTTTTCTTTTGGCAGTTTAGAGAGAAAGAAGCATTTAAGTACAGAGTTGCGCACAGAATGTATCTCTGTTACCAAACTAGAGGAATACTTTAACTGTATTACTCTTGAGCACAGAAAGAACAACCTGTTTAATTTCAGTGCATTAAGTCCTCCAGACTATTAGAGAAGGCCCACAATAATAGAAGAATCTGTCAGTCAATTGGAGGTGATTATCACTGTGATTGAGCACTAAGTAAGCAGACTATAGTATACCTTAGGCATCAGTCTTCTGAATAGATCCTGCGGGGAGTTGCCTGGAGAGAAAATTTGAGTAGTGAAGAGCTCGAGAATGCTTTGTTTTTCAATTACAGACACAAGACTTAGCAAGTGTCACTTATAATATACTACAGCATAAGCAAATTTCAGCAAACTAAATAGAATTAGTTGCAGTCTACACCTAGCAGCACATTCAGAAGAATAATTTGTACAATATCTTTGCCATAAGATACACAAATTTGTACTAAGAAGAAACTTCTTGAAAAAAAAATATTCCTAGTAATATGTTTCAGACAAACTATCGAATAATGTGAGACCTGACTGCCAAAAGCATAGATTGAAGTCAAACTAGAGAATTGTATTTTCCTCAAAACAGCAGAAGACAGTAAAGTAGTATATACACATGATTGATTCACAGTAATGACTGCTTATGTTTTTGATCAGTTATGTAAATTAACAAAACATAAAGACAACCAAACACCACCCAAGAATGGAAGATATACATCCACACAGTTCAATGTCATCAGTTAACCTTCCAAACTGTAGAGATCCATCTATTAATAAATTGAAAGGAGATCCCTTTACTCAATACTTCTATGACCAATATGGGAATCAGTCCAATTATCTGGAAAACAAGATGAAACTGTATGTTTGAGTAGATACTATAAGCAGCCATTGCAGAGGGTTTACTGCACAAAAGCGAGTGGAACTGAAGCTTTCACAGCCAGAACTCTTATCACAGACACACTCGATGCAAATTCTACAAGAGATTGCAAAGATAATAAAACCAAAAGCAGAGATAGTTTTATCAATGGGCAGTTCCAAAAGCTTGACATTCTTTAGAAACCAGAATAGTACATTAGGTAATGTACACACGTAAAACGAAAATAATTTTCTCTCTCTTAGAATAAAACATACGGAAATAAAGGTAAATAAAATTAGAACAGAATTGATTAATTGTAGTTAACCAGTCGCCTAAAGTCATTGCAGAATGTAGAATGTCTCTATGCATAGGTACAAGTTATGACAAGTAGATTGAAGTAAATTGAATTAAAAAAACAACATAGAGTAACAAGAAGGACCGGATACTGTCCTTCATACAGGCCGTTTTCTTCTTGGTTGCACAGACATTGGTGGTTTAAGTGCTTCTGGTTCTGATGGTGATGATGCCAGCTCCTGAACACAAGGAGGGAAAATAAATTATACAGCAAAAATCAGTAGAAACTTAACTCAAATCTGAGTAAGATCTGTCTTTCACAAGAGACTCGTCTATGTCCAAACTGACAAGAAAGATCTTAGGATAGACAGCAGAGTTGTGCGCACAACTGAGATTTTGCCTCGCGCACAACTCTGATCGAGATATCATTGTCAGTAACAGATTAACGGTGCAGAATTCAGTATAACTTACGTTTAAATTGGTACAGGATGCAAGCCTCATTTGTGCTAATTGCGAGGCAGGAGTCAAATTGGTAGTGCTGCCAAAGGGAGACATCATGGATGATACTGCTCGTTTTAATTTGCTCGGAGTCTTTGAATTAAAGGAAAAGGTACGACCTATTTTCATTTTGGTGCGTGATGCTAATCTAGGACACAATAAAAATGACACAAGTTTAAGATTGCAGCATGTAAAATTAAAATAGGAAAATTATGAAAATTTGAAAACTTTACTTCAAACAACTTACTTGAAAGCCTTGCTCAATGTACCAAATGCAGCATCATTTGCACTAATGTCCAGCTCATTATAGTCAATTGGCGACAAAAAATAGGCCTAGATAGAACAAGAAAGCATTTTAGCTCATGCCCAAATACTGAACTGAATAAATGTTTAATGGCCAGAGCTCAGGTTGATAAACTGAGGATTGAACATGGAAATTTGTTGATCCTAGGTATTTATAACGTTTGATGCTAGCTGTTTCTAGGTTGAGCAGGTTCGGGAAATTGGGTGTTGCTGACAAATTACTTAAGCCTCAAAATGCAACAGAATTGAGAGAGTGAATGCTGCTTTTCATTCTTGTGGCTAATACAGGTTTCTGTCTGTTTCAGTCTTTCTAGTGGGAGTGGAGGAGCAGTATGTTTCATTTGATCCAGTTGATGTGATGGAGTGATAAATGCACTTGCACTTGTTGCGTTTTACAAATTCAACAGCAAACAACACTCAAACAAATCTTGTGTAGAAAAAAAATGTACTGCTCTTAACCAAAAACAAAAACCTAAGACAAAAATATTTTTAAAAAAGAATGGCACTGCTCTATCCCTCAGTTCTGATGCATTTCACTTTTTAACCAAAGTTCCAGTTTTTAACTGACTGAACCTACAAAAAGACAGCTGTGAAGGTGTCTACACAAGGTGTCACTAAATTGGCTAAGTGAGTCTTAAGTTTACCTAGCTAGTCCTACATTTAGACACCCACCTAGCTCCAGCCATAAAATATACACACATCTAAGGGCTTCAAAACCGAAACTACAGAGAAACTCACCGCATCAGCCTTACACACGGTATTGGCAAGTTGCCTGCAAAGTGTCTGCAGAAAATTATTTTTATCGATATCTTCATCCGAAAGGGAAAATGAATAGAGCTTTTCTTTGAGCTCTTGGTTGCTCCGACATTTTAGAGCAAATATATTTTCTGAAAACAGAGAAGACATATTAACAACTGTACTAAAATGACACAGTGCCTCCCACCAGCTTTCTTTCAAGAGCTGTACTGTAGCAGACGCATGCATGCATGTGGACGGGTCAGCCAGTAATATTATCTAACATTAACCCATTTTCAGTAAACCGCCTGCGATACAGAATAACTTTTACAAGGTTAGGGGCCTATTGGAAAAACCAGAACCTATATAAATACACCCAAGTTAATAAAAACATTCACCTTCATTGTTCCCCTCTCTTTCCACATCAAATACTCTTTTGATATCAGAGAGGGGTATGAGTCGCACATGCTTGAAATGTTTGCAGCTACGCAATGTGGCTGTATTAGGGCTTTTAAGGGATGTTCCCTTGGATCTTTTCTTGCAAATCTAAATGTTGAAAAAGAGAAAATGCTTTGTAAGGATAGATAGAAAATGCTGGTTGTACCAAGTGAAAGAAACCAAGGTACTAACCTCTAAAATATCTGAGAAGAGAAAAAATACAAGGGCATCTCCTCGCCCACTCAACTCATTGCTGAGCTCTATTACGTCACATCGAGTTACAAACGCCCGGTGAGAGGAGACAAGGTGAGGAGGGCAGTTCTCAATATCATTAAAGATAGAGAACATGTCCATACACGCTTCCATTCTTCTTTTATCTTCATTTATATGCGTCATGACTTCACGAACTGCATGAAGCGCCTCATCCAAGGCTGCATGGTCGGGGTTGTCCTTACGGGTATGTTTTAAAATATCTCCCAACAAGAGAGATATGCTAGGCAGTCTTTGCACTGGTCTTATGAGCAGCTCACCTAGAGTTTGCCTTCCACATTCCGGTTTACTTTGACAAACTTTCAGGAAAGCATGAAACCTTGGTTTGGTTTCGTCACATTTGTGAAGCATTTCTTTTGTCTGTTCAAAAAAGTTTACAAAAGGCGGATATGCTTTAACCATATCCCGAGAATGCCTCAGTATAATGCTGCCAATACTTGTTGTTTCTGTCCAATTTGCATTTGCTCTGATTAGTTCTTGAAGCATAGCAGCGTGTAAATCATAAATAGGTGGAAGGTGGCCAAATATTGTTTTCAACTCTGTATTATCCAATAAAGGGCCCTCCCCCTCGGAAAACTCCTCCAAAGGTTTCTTGATTAAGGTCATGATAGTCCTTAGAATACCAACATAGTTAGTTTCAGTTTGTACCAGCTCATGGAAAACTTGCTGTCTTGGGCTAAGATTGCTGAGACTTTTCAGCGTAGCAGCTTCCACTTCATCAGTGGACAACTTCTCTGAAACAGTTGAGCAGTCTAAAAATGAACTACTGAGACTCAAAAGCCCAGCATCACTTATGGAGGAGCGCCGCTTATGAATACTGGGAGAATCTGGGATCTGTCTTGAAACACCATCCCGAATTCTTTTCCTTTTCCTCAGGCGGGATGATGTAGGAGTACCAAGGGAATCCCTAGATGTAGCCGGACTCATAACTCCTTCTAAGCACTATTTGATACAAAAGTGGGAAAAAAGGAAATTTAAATTAGATTAGAAAAAGACATTGAAACAGGGATTGGGTGAGACTAAGAAATTTTGAATAAATACTCACGCCTTCAAATTTATATTCTGTTTCATCTGCTGCCCCCTCATTTTGCACTGAGATCCAGAACCACTCAGGCTTGACAATATGGGAGGACATCAGGCCAAATGTAGAAGCTTGGGCTTGAACATTATCAACCACCTGCAGGGTATCAGAAATATATTAGTTGTGACATTTCTCATATAAACAAAAGAATGAACATTGAATTAAAAATTATAACAACAGGCAAGCACAAAAAACTAAAATTTAAAAAAATAGTTACTTAAAACTGTAACTTATTCAAAGGCAGGCCTTTGATTTGACCCAACCGAATCTAAAAGCAATGTAAAAGACTTAACACATGCGAAGATATGGATTAATTTAAATATAATGAAAATCTGTATTGAATGAGAAAGCCTAGAGAAGTGAATGGGTTTCAAACGCTAGTTGAAATAAATTTAGTTAGGTTAGCAAAATGGCTGGAAATAAATACTTCAACTTCAGAGGCCAAAATTGTTCACAAATACACTTAGAAAGACTAAAAAGATACAGAAAGTAAGAGCCAGCCCCCACAGAAAATCCATACACAGTCTCTCAAGTAGTTAGTAGAGGGAAAAGCAAAACAGAAACTGAAGACAAGCTAGTACCGGTGCAGATGTGGTGTCCTCTTGATCGCACATCATAGGATCATCTATCACTTGTGCCACACAGTCTGGATGGATACAAGTTGGCGAGGGCTTTTCAAAGGTTTGTGTTGTTCCAGGAGGAGTTGTAGGAGGACTAGTTTGGTCCATTGGATCAGATACCAAGTCCCAGTCCTCTGCAGTGACCATTTCATCATGAGAACTATCATGGTGATCATCCACAAATTTAGGGGTTGAAGTTGGCAGCTCACTTATACTTGGAAAATATGGAACTTTCGGAGTTTTGGATGGTACAAAACTAAGTTTTGGAGTTTCATAACTAGAAGTGGAAGGACTTTTGGATTCAGGAGTACGAGGAGAACTGGAACCATCCTCTTCACGAATAGCAGGATATTTGTTAGGAGACAACAGCAAATGAAGAAAAGATGATCGCCTCCTTTGAGGCGGAATTGGATGGGGCAGATCTGAGCACTTGGAATGTTGGGACTTGTTTTCACCCACAGGCACAGGAGCAGTCTTGCCCTTGAGCAGGCTATAAGCCTTGTAACTCTCCACCACCTGTAAACACACCCACACCATCCCTGATTGTGTGCACCAAGCATGCTCAAGAGATACTGAATTTTTTAAAAGACGTGCATGAAAACTCCAAAGCATGTGTGCCTTGATTATAATATTTTAATATTTTTATGGTTAAGAAAATATGAAAAAAAAATCAGAATAAAAATCTGATGTAGTAAATAAAGGGGCCCAAAAGTTAATAAATCTAGTAAGTCAACGGCTACCTATGCGTTGGTGTGCCACAACATGAAATCTACGACTTATATGGAAGTGAGAGTTTCTCTTTTCTCACCTGAAATGATCCTTCTGTTACCATGCACAAACACAGAAAAATGAGTTACTTAAAATTAATGAATATAGGTAGATGAGAAAGAGACAGAGCGGGAAGAGAGTTGGTGCATAGAAGTACAAGTTTCATCTGATTAATTAAAATCAAATTTGGAAAAGACCCTTTGACATATTGGAGACAGACCCAATATCCAGTGCCTTTAATAAGAAATAGCAAAACAGGCAAATCAAACTTACAACGTGACTGCAGTCTGACATATCTGCAACAGTGCCCCCGTTTTCCACAAGAACTTCTTCCATGTGTTTTTTTTCCTCTTCCGGAAACCCCACAAAACAAACTTTCGCCCCTTGGAAGGGTTTTAATTTGAAATTGGCCTACAAAGAAAAAGATTTAAAACAAAAAAAATCAGTACTTCAATGTAACACAATATTGGCACTGGAGGCAATGAGGTTATTGTTCTCTTACAGTGAAGTCTGATGCTGCTGCACCAAATCCAACTTCTTTCCTTCTCTGCCAAGCAGCAAACACCCAGTCCTCAGACATAACGGGCACTCTAAATGTGGTGGCATAATGGTATTTCTTGCCACCACATCCCTGTGCAATCAAATGGGTGACAGAGACCGACATCTCTTTTCTGATGCTGCCACCCATTGATTGCACCAACTTCACCAACTTCATCTGGAGAATCAAATGAATATCAAGTATCAGTTCATGCCACAGTAGAAATTCAAAGAGAAAATATGAGTGAACTATGAAAACAACTTGATATTTAGATCAGGATTAAACAGATTTATACCAAAGACATACCAAATGGTCCTTTTTTCTGAATCCGGTAAAGCAGACAACCAAACCACTCATAGAGGTTGAAAAAAGTGGCCGAGTGGTGGACGGAAGATTTTCACCTCTGTCTGTCAACTCTAGGAGAGCTGTGCGTCCTAGCACCCTGTATGAAATAAAATGTGAATGATGAGACACAAATTTTTTATAATTCAGAATATAGGGAAGTAGTTAAGATAAATCCAAGACAACCTGAATCGGGGATTGTGAGGTGCTTCAAACAATGGGCCTTCCATGTCGTCCACAATAAAAATAGTGTTTTCAACTAAATCTATAAGTTCACTACCAGTAGCTGAAAGGGAGACTGGTAAACCCAATGCCTGTAAAACCAAAAGAAAAAAATAAGATGTAAGTATAACTACAAAAAAAACAAGTTATAAAAGAAAATATTCTTGGTGACATTGATAGGAAAGCTTAATGTGAATACAGCCTTGTGAGGACAGAGCTGAAGCAATGTTTGAGGTAATGAGAAACCAACACATTCTAAGCGGTTGTGAAAAAATAATGTCACTTTTCGCTGCACGCAAAGATTACAACCCAATGTACTTTGCGGCACACTAAAAATAAATAAGAAGTTTACTGACCTGCACTGCAGACATTACTAGAGGGTCCAGGGCCAGTGAGCCAACAACACAAATTTGCTGGCATGTCCCAGCTAGCTCTGAAAGCATACAAAAAATAAAAAAATCAAGTGACAAGTGCACCAATAAAATGCCCCAGCCAAAATTTCAGCTGATGGGATGGAGAATGCAAGTGACTTTCTAAAGGTCTGGAATTCGATCAACTGCAGCATAGTGATATTCTTCAACAAAGTAATAGAGACTTATGTATCTCATTGTAAACAACACATAGCAGGTTACTAAAAGAAATAGTTGGAGAGTCATTAATATTGTTTAGTAAATGAGTCAACAAGCGAATACAAAACGAAAATCACATAAAATGTAAATAAAATGCTGTAGTAAAATAGATTAACAAAATAATATGGCAGTTAAAAGGAAAAATGGCCTGAAGTAGGCCTAACGTCTAGGTCATCGACAGTTAGGTTGGACGGCTTTCGATCAAAATGAAGACTTTCATAAAAATAGTTAATCTAAGCCTTCGTGACATGAATTCAAATGAGGAGCTGGAAACACTGCAATTTTCGATAAGATTCATATTGTTTATTTAACTTACCCAACCTACTCCCACCCCCGTCTTCTTCCTCCATGATCCTAGCGTCCTTAAAACGGAGCAGAGGGGGTTAAAGGACCTCAGTCAAAAGGGCAGGGAAGATGCAGTTAACACTTGCAAACCAAAGCAAAAATATTTTTCTCCGACAGCAACGGTAATCCATTCATTGTTTGTTATTATCCAACAACAACAATTATTGTTGTCGAAATTTACGTTACTTTTTAATGTTTGAAAGAAACGTATCAAGGCCTTCTAAACATAAACGAAAAAACGAGTCACTTTTGTTTTCACGAGATGTGCAGTCAAGTTAACCAACTGTAAAAAAAAAGAAAAACAAGAAGATACAAGTTTCTTTCAATTACTTCATTTTTTCTGCCAGGAAAAGACGAAATTTTAAGAGCACGTGAGATAATGCTTTTTAAGTTTTGTATGTTCTGAAACAAAAAGGGAAGCTCAGTCCGATTGACGAGGTACGTTACGCTGCTACTCCTGAAAATGTTAAGAGCTCGGCGGACGATTCGAAAATCAGGCAGATCGAGCGGGGTGGCATTTTGGCCGCATTCATTTTGCAGCTTGATATCTTTCTTGTAATTGTTTTACTCTTACTCCGGTTAGGGTAGAGTATGGGCTACGGTCGTTGCGGTTGTTTGCAGTTTTCTCTATCTATGCGCAAGCGCGTACCTCCTCGTACCCTCCCGCTCCCTCCCCCCTCTCCGTGCGTCTCCCGCCTCCCGCCCTCGCCTGCCGCCCGCGCCCGCCCGGTGGATCGCATCGCAGCACTTTCCGCACCCGTTTGGTTTCTTCAAGCTCGTGTGTGTGTGGTGTGCGGTGGTCCAGAGTTCCATCTTACCCGGCATCTCAAGTAAAGCTTCAAAATTCCAAATCTTAAGCTTTTGAAGTCTGCAATGAAGGTAAATGTTCTGTTTTTAAGAATTCTGCTTTCCAATGGCATTTCGCCCATGAAAGGTTTTCAAGCAAACCACGAGCAAACCTTTAGCAGTTAGGCTCTCACTGGCCCAACCGCCGTAGTTACATTTCTTTGAAAAGAGAGAAGCAATTCTGTTAGTCCCTGCAATAGCTTTCAACCAATACTAGTAAAACTTAATTGCATGGCACATTCTATAGTCAATTTCATTAATGTATATACGTGGTTTTGTTTCTGGGTCTAGGGTGGCTCCTAGGTTATCCCGCGTGGTCTGAGATTTTCTTTGAGGTGTGTACTCTTGTGCCGCTTACTCGTACTCCTTTTGACTTCCCAAGCTTGACGTAAATGTGAGCACATTCTCTAACAACCAAGAATGATTGTAGTCACCTTTTCATTTTCGGCGTCTCCTTTGTTATCTTGCAGCCCGTTCTCTGTGCCGGTAGGGTTATGATGAGCTGACGGCCATTGTTTGGAAGAAGCAGCATGATTTTGATGCCTTGCCATGTATTGTCATGCCACTTCGTTTTAACCCCCTTTGTTGGAAGCATTTACTAGTTTTGATGGTTATGACAATATATTTAGAAACTGTCATTCCAGAATTTATGGCTGAATATTTGTGCTTTTTTCTATGGTCTGGTCCAGATCCAAATGTGGTTTTAAGTTTAGCTCATCTTTTTGCAGGGGTGCAAGCTAGAAGATAACATGGAAGTTGCATCGGAGGTGGGAACTCCCACCAAAGAGAATAATGTGACCAAAGAAAAGACAGAGAAAAATGAAGCTAATGAAGAAGTAAAAGTGGAAGAAATGACATCACGAGATTATTATTTCGATTCCTATGCTCATTTTGGTATCCATGAGGAAATGTTAAAAGATGAAGTTAGAACGCTTACTTATAGGAATTCAATGTATCACAACAAGCATCTCTTCAAGGTTGGTTTACTTCTTGCAAATCAGTCCAGTTCACTTTTCTGTACTAAACGTATAATTCAACTATTTTTTATTTTTTTTACAGGACAAAATAGTTCTTGACATTGGTTGTGGTACTGGCATCTTATCAATGTTTGCAGCCAAAGCTGGAGCTGCCAAGGTCTTTGGAATTGACTGTTCAAATATTGTTGAATATGCTAAAAAAATTGTTGATGCAAACGGTCTTAGTGACACAGTTACCATTGTCAAGGGAAAGGTAAGAGGCTCTTCATGTCAAGGCGGTATTTTAATCATGTTATTTCTATAAAGTGTGGACTTTTAGTGGGCTTTTTACTCTTCAGGTTGAGGAAGTGGAACTTCCAGATGGTATCACCAAAGTTGATATCATTATTTCAGAATGGATGGGCTACTGCCTTTTCTATGAGTCGATGTTGGATACAGTATTGTATGCTAGAGACAAGTGGTTGCAACCAGATGGTCTTATGTTCCCTGATAGAGCCACTCTCTTTGTCACTGGAATTGAAGATCGTCAGTACAAAGATGAAAAAATTAACTGGTGGGATGATGTTTACGGATTTGACATGAGCTCCATTAGAAAGGTTGCGATCAGTGAACCCCTAGTAGATGTGGTTGATCCAAAACAGGTAATTTTTTGCTTAGTTTTTGTTTCTTGAATTATTACATGATTTTGTTACTAAAGAAATTCTTTCCTCTAGGTTGTTACTAATGCTTGTTTGATCAAGGAAGTGGATTTATACACTGTTAAAAAGGAAGATTTAGACTTCTCATCACCTTTCCACCTCCAAGTGAGGCGGAATGATTATGTTCAAGCTCTTGTGACATACTTCACAATTGAGTTTTCCAAATGTCACAAGAGGACGGGCTTCAGCACTGCCCCAGATGCGCAGTACACACATTGGAAGCAAACTGTATTTTATTTTGATGAGTACATGACTGTGAAGAAGAATGATGAGATAAGTGGTGTATTCTCAATGAAGCCCAATGCACGGAATAATCGTGATCTAGATTTCACTGTTGAACTAGATTTCAAAGGGGAATGTGGTGAAATGCATGAAGTTAACCATTATCGCATGCGCTGAAACTTTTATCATAGGTTTTGACGATTGTGGAAACTGTTAGGAACGTAGCTGCAGCCTTAATTCATAAGATCTGAGGTAATGTTTGCTTACAATTAGTACTTGTTTTGTAAGCAACAATTCTTTTGATATGTATTCTGTGAATTTTTTCTATGTCCTAGCTGTTTTCAAAGCTTCACATTTTATACTTTATATTGTAAGTGTTTGCTATGAAGATCACTTGTATTTTTTTTTTAAATTTGGTCACTAATGTGACAATCTTATTAAATGTAAACGTACTATACTTAATGTTACCTTTTTTTCTCCCAATCCATCAAACTGAAATGTTAATGTTACCAATTAAGTTTATCCCACTGAGATAATCATTGTCATAAATTCAAATGCTTGTCAGTTTACTTAGAATATCCAGTGATTGTTAAATGCTTGTAAATTAATTTGAAATGAAGTACATTCACACATCTAGAACAAATTGTTTATTTTTGACCCGCATTCTTAATTTTGTACACTCAAGTAACCAGTCCTTTTAAAGATGTTGCAAGCTTTTGAGTCTTGTAATCCGTACGAAGTTGTATAAAATTTACCAGTATGGAGTTGTCCAAACCCGCCTGAAAAGAAATAAGTTACAAAACGTCCAAGATAAATTCAGGAGCATGTGGGACTCTGACTACTTACCAATGTTTCACCAGAACACACTTGTTTCAGGTTTTCTGGTTTAACAAGCAGCAAATTACAAAGAGCATGCAGAGTATCAAATAAAGTATCAATTAATGGAATATGAAGTTCTTTTACACATTTACGATACTCATTTACATCCATGATGGCTATCATGGCACCAATAGAATTAAACTGAAACTGCTGCAAGTGCTCGTAAACAACCCTATGAAGACGAATACCCAATTCCAACAAGACACACTCTGCATTTTTACCATCTAAAGATGATTTAATGCGCTTTATGGTGCTGCTTAAGTACTGCACAACAGCCATGCATGCCTGTAACAAGTTGGGAAACCATGTGTGACTGAGAGAGATGGTGGCCATTTTAATCTTTAATCAGGCAAACAATTATGGGAGGGTTTGTTGCTTACAGGGGAAGCCATAGTGTCAAGATCAGCCTCTGGTTTGAAATCAGTTTTTTTCTGTTCAGTTTGGAGATAAATTTTTACCCATCCAACAATTGCACTGAGTGTTCTAGAAAATAGCAAGAAATCAAGTCAGGTATACGAATACTTATAAAGGCATAATTCAGATGAATCACACTAGTCTTCACCTGTCTAAGCCAGTATCTAGCTTGGATTCAATCTGTTCTAGCATTTGCCTTTTCTTATGAAGGCATTCAGCTTGTTTTGGTGTTGACCTGTGTTATTAAACAAAGAACCCTCATCAAAACATGCCCTACCTATATATGACTATAAAACATGATCAGGGCAGCCACAACTTAAGATGGATTTAGACATGTACAAACCAAAGCAAAAGCAAACATACACAAAGATGATGATATCTAATATATCTATCTGGGAGCTCATAAGAGCGACAGAGAGTGTAGTGTAGAAATCATCTTCTGTTTAACCGATTCTTCTTAATGTTATAACAAAAATTATATTATAAAGGACTTACATGATAATTGGCATTAAACTCTGAACTGTTTCCATTTCAAGATAATGAACTATCTCATTTGTTTGGCTTGCTACTTGAAGGAAATATAGTTGAGGCTGAGTCTTGTTCTCTGGAATAGGCACAGCTTGCAGGCCAAGCTCCAAAGCATAATCAACATAATCAGCCAACAACTGATTGAGGAGGACATCAAAGATAAGCTGTGCGTGGGCTGGTTGATCAGTTTGTTTTGACAGCTACAGAGGAAAGGAAAAAAAACACAAAAGAAATAACAACTTTTGGTTAGGCATTTTAAGTGGAAATGAGACTTACAACAGTGCACCGTTTAAATGCTTGTTTGCCTGTTTGGATTAGAGACTTTGCCACTTCCATAGATAGGAAGGTTTCTCCACCATAATCATCAATTTGTGCAATGTTTATGTTGGCCCTTGTTCCAATCACTGCTTGTAAATCTCTGCGTAAATCTTGAAATCTGAAAATAATTGACAGCAATGTCAACAAAATGGTACCGTATGATATTGCAATCACACAACCAATTACAAAGATCCAAGAACTTACCCCCCAGTTTGAATCTGGCGCTTATGATGACTCTTACTATCATAAAACTTCTGAATAGCAGCAACACTACATTCCTTGAGATTTCTAAGTTCATTTCTATGGGATAGAATATGTACAACATATATTATACACCATATTTAAATACATCAAACAAAAGAACTGGACAAATCGTTTAGGAGCCAAGTAGCAGATCAATTTACTCAAACATACCCAATATAATTTTCTAAATACTTCTGAAATATATTTTGGGTAAGTTTAGTGAGGTACATTTCATCATTACCCATCTCAAACATCATTAAGTCATTTGAGAGCTGTACTGTTCTGTAAAACAAATATAAAAATGATGCTAGCTTTATAGTTATTACATAATGCGTGGTATGAAACATACTGTTTAGTTCATTGTCTGTGGTACCTTGAATACAAGTCATGAAGATTTTCTAAATATAAATTAGTATTACTTTTGTCTGTCAGCCTGCTGACAATGTGATCCTATTTAAGAAACACAGAATAAGCAAATTTTCATGAAAGAATTCATGTGTTTAAAGAAGTTGACTTCTAGAACTTACCTGCAGTTTTCCATGGTAAATATTGAGAATAAACTTTGCCATCACTTGCTCAGGGTTTGAAAAAACCTCTTTCATTATGTCATAGTTTCTTCGACATAAAGGTATAACATTTTGAAACACATTTTTTCCAACAAATGCACGCTAGACATAATAATAAAAACAAGCCAATATTAGAAAGAAAAAAAGAGAGAGAAAAAAACAACACATGAAGGCATAATTTGGCAACTTACTTCTTGACTCTGCTCAATGAAAGCATCAACACATTGAGTGTAACCTTTAAAATGTGAAAGAATGGAGGCAATCTCTTTCATTCGGGCAATGTCTTCTTGTTTATGTGCAACAACAAACTCTTCAATCAATAGCTTCTCTATTTCATCATACTTTCCTGAAATTTTCTTCTTAGCATTCTCAAATCTAGAATGAGAAGTTTTAATGTATAATTAATTTAATTTGTTTAAGACAGCCTGAACAAGTTGCAGACCTGATTTTTGGAACAAAAGGTTGCAGACCCTTGCTCCCACTGACTTGGTCCAAGAAAACTAGAAAACTTTATTCACTAGAAATGTTTTGTGACAATGTCAATTTAACATATTAGAGTAAATAAAATTAAAAGAAAAAAAAGAACTTGCATTATTTAAAGTTGGCTATATTAAGCCTTGCCTAGTCTCAAAAAGCAATACCACACATAAAGTTTCACTGAGGCAGCAAAATGTAAATGTTTGACCTACATTGATAAATAATACCAAAACTCCAAATGCTAGAACTTCTTTGGAGCCAATTAATATTTTTTTTTTTAAAGTGTTTCAATGTACCGTTATAAATAATAGGTCTACTCCTTGGCGCAGAAGTTTTAGATAGTATACTAATTTCCATTAATTTGGGTTCATACTTATCAGAGGGCAGCTCTTGGGCTATGAGATGAAGTTTCTGTATAATATCTGCAGCCTCATCAATCTGTTAAGAGTAAACAAAAATCATTGGAGGCTAACAAAGATTGAGATGAATACAATAAGAAAACAAGAACAAAAAGTCAAACAAACCTGGGATTTGTCTAAGAATATGTCTAATGTGATAGGTCCAGGAGATAGAAACTCAGCAAAATGTGACATCAACCTCTGGGCTTCAACAGCACGAGACCGTGGGGTATTCACACTTTCCAGTTGATCTCCCAGGTGAATAACTTTTGTTGCAACATTATTAATTCTCTCGTCTAGTCCTTGGAACATTCCAACAGCAGCCTTGTACAGTCAGAAAAAGACATAAATTAAAATAAGTGTCCACGTGAATGGGGATTGGGTGATAATGAAGGAAAATCTTAGGTGACTAACAAACCTTATTTTTGTCTTGAAGTTGAGCGATTTCTTGACAGTGCCCATGTTCTTCTTCCTGGCACTGTTGTTCCAATCGTCCACATTTACGGTATTGTCTCTCCTGTAGCATCTGTAAATCTCTACAAAAAAATTGGAGGATCTTGCTTTCAGTGAGATTTTACAGAAGAAACTAAGGCAGTTTTTAACTATATAAACTTACTTAATGGCTTGTAGGAATGTTTCTTGCAGTGCGATTGGATCTAGTAACTCTTTGTTGCTATCTCTCACTGAAACTTGCATGGTTCTCTTTGCTAATCGTTCAACAAAAGCTTCAGGATCAAAAGGCTCCTGTAATAAAATAGAAGAGGATTAAGGTGCACTAAAAGTACAACATTGTGGGGAACAACCAAAGTTGAACGCAAGGAGCAAAGGAGAACCTTCATTGATGGTATTGATGACAAGATCAAATCAACGATCGAAGTAAATCACTAGCATTAAATTATTATAAGATTTGTACAAAAAGGTACTAGAGATTGAAAGTGAGGATTTTCATTTGAAAGCAGGAATTGGTTGATGTCAATAATAGCTCATGTACTACTAGTTACTTGCATTGATGGTTGGCGCCTGCAACGTAACCCCCTATTTTTTCCCCCACAAGAAATCTTTGTACAATACATTGCAAGTACTGACCTGTTCCAATTCTTTCATGTAAATCATGTTGCTTAACAATGAAGGTGACAGTTTCAATGATAAAATTGACAGCAACACACTACTGCTACTGCAACAACACACCCACAACCCACACACCCCAAGAACACAATATTAGAGATGGTGATGGCTGGGTCAGCCTTGAGACTACAGCAGACGAAGTATGGGTATGAGAAGTTGACTGCCCCAGAAGCGGCCATCAACGCCATCAACGTTCCTGGAGGCGGTATGGGTATCGAATAAGTGCTTGTTTCAAAAGAAAATGACCAAGAGCTCGGCACTTTTTAGCAGATGATACGCAGTTATCGTCAGCTTGTGGTTGTCCGGGAGAATACGCGGCAGCTTGATGGGTTGCCTACGCACTGGCGTGCAGGCGCGGAGGGCGAGGGGGGAGCGGTGGAGGTAGCGGGAGGCAACAACAGCAACAACCGGCCGCCCCCCATCACCTCTTCTATTAACCCTAACCCCTCGCCCCCCGAGGCTGCACGCCAGTGCGTAGGCAACCCATCGAGCTGCCGCGTATTCTCCCGGACACCCGGTACTGTACCTACTCTCGTTAAGTTGTAAGTTCGCCAGTTAAAGCGTTAAGTTCAAAGTTCACCAGTGAAAGCAGCAGATTGGTTGAACACCGTCGTAGCAGGTATCGAATATGTTTCGGCACTGGGGCTCTTGCGTGTCCCGCACCGTGGTCCCGGCCGTCCATTGTAGTGTAAAAGACTCATAAAACACGCGCCGCGCCACGCAGGCCGCGCCATCCACCGCCACGCCACGCTCGCCGCGCCCCCCTCGCCGGAACGCCAACCCCGCGATGCGTTCAACGCCTACGCCGCCGCCCCAAGTAACAGAGATTAGACAAGAATACATCAAACTGACATAATATTGACCTATTTTTTTTCAAACAGGTCACAGCAGCACTTATATAGACCAAGACTAAAATGTGCCACCTTAGCAAAAAAGCATTTCACGGCAAATTCTGGCGGTGCAAAGCTGAGAGTACCCAAGACAAGACGGTATATCCGAGGGACAGCCGGGAGGGTACCTAGAGGCACTATAGGAAGTATCCGGGAGGCACCCCCCGGGGGAGAGCCGGGGGGACCCGGGGGAGAGCCGAGGGGCAGCCGGGGGATAGCCGGGGTAGTGCCGGGGGAGTGCCTGGTGGGTTACCCGGTTGACGCCCGGTGCAGTTCGGGCAACCTCCGGGGAAGTACCTGGATGGTTACTCGGTTGCGCGGTGCAGGTCGGGCAACTCCCGGGAGGTGCCAGGTCCAGCTAGTTGTTCTCGGCCAGGGTAACTCATTTGTACCTTCCCCGGATTCATATGAAAGTCGCTCGTGGGGTAGTCGCCAACGCATCGCGAGGCGCGCGCGGCCGACGAGTAGGCAAACCGTCCGCAGGTGTGCTTGCGGTACAGTATACCTACAAAAGTGCGCGGCGTGAGTCAGCCCCCAGGTATAATTTGTACTACTACTTGTTTCTCAGAACAAAGCACGACCCTCACGATCAGCCCTCAATTAACGAGAGTCGTCGTGCACCTTCCTCGTGCATGGTTACTCGAGTATCGGCCTTATAAGGCCGAGATGGCCGGGCAGAAGGTATCACTCCATCGCCATGGCCCGCCTCAGCATCGCAGTCCTCGCCCTCTTCGCCGTCGCCGCGGTGAGTTCAACCCCGGCCCGGCGGTTCTCGTCACGGCATCCCTCCCACGAGCTAATGTGTTAATGTAACACACATTGCAGGTTGCCTCCGCTGGGGCTCCCCCACCACCACCGAAGGGGCCGGCCGGACCCCAGGGCCCCGCTCCTGCAGGAGGTGTGAAGGCTTGGCTGCACCAGAAGGAGGCCCAGCTGAAGCAGTGGGCTGGTCAGGAGAAGGCCAAGCTCCAGGTTAGAACAAAACCAGTGTCCTGTCCTTTTGGTGATAGCTTAGTAAGCCAACTCTGTCACCGTTGCTTTCGAGGTTCTCTGACATTCGCTTTCGCTTTCTTCAGGGCCAATGGAAGGAGAAGGTCGTTCCCCACATCCATGATCTGACCCAGAAGTTCGGCCAGCAGTGGCAGCAGAAGGCTCCCAAGATTGCCGCCCTCCTCAAGCAGAAGGCAGGAGCTGCATTCGAAAAGGCCGTCAAC